AAGTTCATCTGATTGTTTAAAAGAAGATGATGGTGATATACATATGTCGGATTGTTCATTAGATTGTAAAGATGATGATCAAATATGTTTAACAAATACAATTCATAATACAACTAATAATAAAAATAATAATAATAATAATAATTCATCAAGTAATTGTTCATCATCATCATCATCAGTATATCATCAAAAAAAATCCAATCTTGATAATACAGATAATGGAAATACAAATGGACCAAAAAAACGTGGTCCAAGAACAACAATTAAAACAAAACAACTTGAACAATTAAAATCAGCGTTTGCTGCAACACCAAAACCAACACGACATATACGAGAAGAATTAGCACGTGAAACGGGTTTAGCTATGCGTGTTATACAAGTATGGTTTCAAAATCGTCGTTCAAAAGAACGACGTATTAAACAATCAATAACATGTGGTGGATCACGTCGACATTATTATCGACGTGTAGCATCCGGTAGACCATTTGATGATAATGAAATGGTTTCACATCCTGGTTTAAATTATTTACCAGGTATAAATTAGTTTCTTTTTAAAACATAAAATCTCTAAAAAAAGAAATTTTTTAAGAAGGATTTCGAAATGATTTTATGTATCAAGGACCACCAACACAAAGTTATAATGATTTTATTATGCAACAAGAATTACATCAAAGACTTAATTATGGACCAGCTACAGGTATGAAAGTTTAAATGAAATAAATTATTATTTTTTTTTGTTAAATAATAATTTAGATTTATCATATGCTATGCATCATGAATTAAATAGTGGTTCATCAGCGACAGTACCAGATTCTTCGGGAGGTGATTCTGAAGATGTACAACAACGTTTTAGTAGTTCAACACCACCTTTAACCTCACAAGTGATCACAACAGGAGGAAGTGCCTTTAACGATCATTCATGGAATTAATTTTTTTTTTTTCGTTTTTTTCTTTTTTTTATATAACAGTCGTTGCTTTTCTTTATTTGCCTTTTGTTAGCCATTACATTCAGCTTTTTCTTTCGTCTTTATCGTCGTGATCTTGGTTTTCTTTTTCGAAAAAAAAAATCTATGATGATGTCTTAACATGATGTGACGATCTCATGCTGAGTAACGACGGAATTTCAGACAGCTGAATAAATGTGCACGAGCGGAAATGTCAACTTGAATGTGCGCGCACGTTTCTCTCGTCTTTGTTTCCTGTCAATTGGCAATTCCTATCTTTTCTATTTTTTTTTTTGTCTTTGTATTAAACAGAAATACTAATCATCTACCCAGTTATTTTCACTATCATCACCTTCGAATGAAAAGAAAAACAAAAGAGATTTCTTTTTTTTCTTTTTCTTATTTGTTCGATAGATTCATCAATATTGAATTCGTATAATAACTTGATGATGCCATGGAGAGAAGCAACTATCGATGAGAGAATCTCAATTTGCTTGGACAAATAAATGCATGCGGCATTATGTGATTGAAATATGTGTTCAAAGGAAGCCTTGGCTTTATGTGTATAGAAAAAGAAAAAAAAAGTTTGATTAAGAAACCATAAGTATAAAGTTTGAATGGGATGGTGTGACTCAATGATATATATATATATATGGAGAGAGAGAGGGAGAGAGTGCGGCTACCTACTGTGCAAGTAAACAGTGATTGCTTTTACAATAGGTGTGTCTTAATTGGTTTTTCTTTAGAATAAGATTAGAAAAAAAAGACAAGTAAAGCGAATCATTGATTTAAGTATATACTTAACAAAGGTGTGATCAAAACGAAAAACAATGATTGTTGTTGTTGTTGATCAGAAAAAAAAGGTGTTATATGTTTTGTTTTTTAAATAAATCTATACTATTAGAAAATAAAACGGAAGGAAATTCTTGAATATAGTTCGATATAAAAATACATTTTTTTTTGTCAATGTGTTAATACTTGTACATTATTTGTTTGGTTAATCTCTTGATATACATGTGTTTTTGGAGTGTGATTAAAATCAGATTCATATTGAAAGCTTTCATTTATTTATTTTTACAGAGAGAAGTGAGAAATTGATGTGATTACATAGTTTGTATGTAGTCAGGGGTCGGAAAATTTTGGACCCGACGAACTTTAGTCCAGAGATGACCAAGATTGAGGAAGGCGGCTACTGCTGCCGAGTGAAGGTTCCCAAGTGATAAATCGCCTTCAAGCTCCAGTTTTACATTAAAATCATACTTTCGATTTTCAACCTGAAACTTTGCCCACATAGAGATCCCGATTAGAGTAACTTGTAGAAACAAAATTCGGAATTTTTCGATTAAATCTCTTCGAAATATGAATTTTTTTACAATAAGTATGGCAAGGTGCTTCTATTTTGAAAAATTCATATCTCAGAGAAATTTTGTCGAAAGATTCTGAAATTTTTTTTCTACAAGCTACTCTAATCGGGATCTTTATGTGGGCAAAATTTCAGACTGAAACTCAAAAGTATAATTTTGCTTTGAAACTAGGACTTTCAGGAAAAATCCACTAAACATTTGATATCTCAGTAATAAATACTCAACAGTTCGAACCATTCTTGGATATTTATCTACTTGCCAAACCCTGTCGATTGAATATAGTCCCAACTTAAAAGTAATTTTTCATCAGGAGACCTTTCCTCGTGAGAAGGTAGGGTTCACGACATCGGGGGAGGGCAACTAGAGATACAATGGTGATGACAACCGTTGGTATGATCATCGGTCCAAGTCGGTTTTTACAAAGGGAAGGCTTTTTTGAAATTCGGTAATCGATTTTTTCGTATAAAAATGTTTTGTATGAAAAACACGATTTTTTTAGAAAAAGAAATTTTTTTGGTGAAAATACCAAACTTAAAACGTCGAGAATCTGATTTCAGATTCTGTTTCCCCGATCTCAATTACCTTTGGTAGAACTTTATTTAAAAGAATCGTTATTTTCTCAAAAAACTCTTTCCTTTGTGAAAACTGACTTGAACCGATGAAATGGTAACGGTGCACTCAGGGACGGCGCGAAGAGGTCAGAGCAGGAGGGGGGTATCCCGAAAATCGGAGCCTCCAATCCCAAAAAGTCAAAATTGAAGAGCAAAAAAAAACGTTCCCACTGTTGAAATTCGGAGGAAATCTCCAAACTTTTTTGGTTGCCATCGCTTTCTTTTCGAAGCAGACTTTCCGACATTCCTTCGACTACTCTGACCGCACTTCATACAATATTATACCAATGGTACCAACAAAAATCTGATTTTTTCTTTTTTTTTTTTCAAAATTTTATTCTTCGCTCAGTTATCGTTAACATCCACGTATCACATATTGCTATTGATGACAGATGCATCTAGTTATAATACTAATTTCTCGCTTAAACACGAACTTAGATTATTGATGTAGTTCAAAAATCTCAAGAACCGAAAAAAAATAGTAGAATAGATTTCTTCAAAATTAGATTTTTGCCAAATTTAGGGTCGATTGTCTACTATTTTTCTCCAAAATCGGAGAAAATTGACTACGGTAGTTCTCCAAAATCGGAGAAGATTGTTTACTATGGCTCCCCAAAATTGGAGAAAATTCTGTACTGTAATTCTCCAACATCCAAGAAAATTGTGTACTTTAACTCTCCTAAATCGGAGAAAATTGTGTACTGTAGTTCTTCAAGATCGGAGAAAATTGTTTATTGTATTTCTCGAAAATCGGAGAAAATGGTCTACTGTAGTTCTCCAAAATCGGAGAAGACTGTCTACTGTACTTCTCCAAAATTGGAGAAAATCATCTACGGTAGTTCTCCAAAATCGAAGAAAATGGTCTACCGTAGTTCTCCAAAATCGGAGAAAATTGTGTACTGGAGTTCTCTAAAACCGAAGAAAATTGTCTGCTGTAGTTCGCCAAAATCAGAGAAAATTGTTTATTGTATTTCTCCAAAATCGGAGAATATTGTCTACTGTAGTCCTCCAAAGTTGGAGAAAATTGTCTACTGTAGTTCTCCAAAATTGGAGAAATTTGTCTGCTGTAGTTCTCCAAAATCGAAGGGAATTGTGCACTTTGATTCTTCAAAATCGGAGAAAATTGTCTACGGCAGTTCTCCAAAATCGGAGAAAATCGCCTAATGATCCTGCAAATTTGGAGAAAATTGGCACTACCAAAATTTTCAAATTCGGAGAAAGCTCCAATCAAAATTTTCCGAAGCAGGAGGGGGGTGACCCCCCTATCCCCCCCCCGCTCGCGCCGTCCCTGGGTGCACTGATGAATTTTCATCACTGTTGCATCCCTAAGAGCAACCCTTGTTGCGGTGACACCGCTGCATGTAGTCCAACTTCGAAAAACATGTTACTGTTACGGTGATAACGAGTTTATTTCATGGAAACAGTACTATAAGCGTTTATTGATTGATGGCAACTGTCATATTCAAGTACCTAAACTGAAGAAAATGGCGCCATTTTCTGTAAGCTCGTAATATGGTGAAAACGGTAGAAGAAACAATGGCTGCTTGCTAGTGAAAAAAAACAACATGATGGATTACGGCGAACAACAGTGAAAGTTAATGTCATAAGATGCTGTTTTTCAACAATCGAAATGATCGTCCTAGGTAGATGCAATTCTGTTCAATTAAGAAGTAGAATAAATTCGTTTTATACGATTGGTTTTGCTAAAAAATTTGCACGTTCTGAACAGACTGTATATCGACGAATTTTAACTTTATTAAAAAACTCTTCATATAAATCTTTTTATAATTATGTTATTGAAGATGGCGCTAGATTCAAGTCAGGGAAATTAAAATTATAAAAGTTTATTTCATATAAAATAAATATATTTTTCCATGTAATTTCATTTCAAAATTAAAAATTATGACATAAAACGAAACTAAAGTAAATCTACATAGTATTCGTTGGTTAAATTAACTAATAAATTATCAAAATCAGACTATCAATAAATTCATTCAAACCACCCGTCCACTTGACACATAGGCAGTATCGAATAAACGTTACAAAGGCATAATTCTTAAATTTTGTTTTTTTCAAGATTAATGTTTCCAACTCCTGATTTATCTCATTTGACTCGAAATGATTATAATCAAATCTATGAACCAGATGCTGATTCATTTCTTCTTCTTGATGCTTTAGAATTAAAATTAAATGAAATTCTTGAACAAAAACCTTTTATTATATTTGAATTTGGTTCTGGTTCAGGTTTAATAACAACATTTGTTGCTAAACATTTTTGTTTAACATCATGTCTTTTTTTTACTATTGATATTAATCCTTATGCATGTTATTCAACTAAAAGAACATTTCAACAAAATAATCTTCATAAAAAACATTGTTTAAATATAATTCAATGTAATTTAGCTGATCCTTTAATTGATCGTTTATCATCAAAAGTTGATTTAATACTTTTTAATCCACCATATGTACCAACAGAAACATCTGATGTTAAAGAAGTTATTGAAAGAACTTATGCAGGTGGTAAACAAGGTATTGAAGTTATAGAAAAAGCTATTGAACAAGCAAGTCGATTACTTTCTTCTAAAGGTTTATTTTATATGGTAGCTCTTGAAGAGAATAATTTTGATACATTAAAAGAATTAGCTAATCAAGTTGGATTAAATATTGATATTATACTTAAACGACGAACATTAATTGAAAGATTATTTGTTGTACAATTTCAAAGAAAATAATTTTATTTGTTTGTTTATTTTAGATGAATTATTCATTATTTCCTCAATTTTATCTACTATTCAATATCATCAATTTATAGCTGGTCTTTTCGGTGGAATTATTTCATCAATTGTACCTCATCCATTTGATCTAATTAAAATATGTTTTCAAGTAACTGAATCAAAATCAAAGAAAGATAGACTACGAATTATAAAAATTTCTTTGATGCATTTTAATCAATCTATCGTGAGAGTGGTCTGCAAGGTTTATATGAAGGTGTAATATCAAATGTTGTTGAAAATGGAATATCTTTGGGTCTTTATTTATTTATATATAATACAATTATTGTTTTAAATAATGATCAAGATAAAATAAAAAATTTAACATTTTATTATCGCACAATTTATTCAACAACAGCTGGTTTATTAACAATTATTTTAACAAATCCAATGTGGGTTATAAAAACATGTATGTGTTTACAATATTCAAACAATAAAACAGCTATTACATATAATAATATGTTTGATGCATTTCGAAAAAACTTATCAATCCGAAGGAATAACAGCATTTTATAAAGGTCTTACACCTGGTTTAGTTGGTATATTTCATGGTACAATACAATTTTCATCTTATGAACAAATGAAAAGTTTCTATGTGAACCCATTTCATACAACGTATTTTCTTACATCAGTTGTTTTAACATTTTCAGCTTTATCAAAATTTATTGCTGCAACATCGACATATCCAATACAAGTTATATGTACACGTTTACAAGATCAACATCAAAGTTATAATGGTGTACTAGATGTTATTAAGAAAACATATAAACGAAAGGGTATTAGTGGATTTTTTAAAGGTGTAGTACCAGCACTTTATCGTGTTATACCAGTTAGTTGTATAACATTTGTTTCCTATGAATTTATTCTATACGAATTAAAACATGGAATTATTTGATTGATATATGTATATAGTAAATCATTATTATCTAGAATTAATTTTATTAATAGTCGCGTTCTCGTTATTTATTTGCATATATAAGTTATGTATTGCTTTCATTTAACTCTATATTGTTATCTTGTTTTGTACTTACTGTATGTGTTCCTTGATCTATGCATTTATTAACATAAATATATAGACATGGTTAATTAATTAGGATAAATGAGCTTAACTATAAAGCAGAAAAGTGTAGTTGGTATTTTTACGCAATTACAGGTCAAGGTAATCATTTGCTCTACACTAATTTCTTTTGAATCTTTTTATATATTTAAACTTATGATGTTTGATCGGTAGCTCCTACCTTCTCACTATTCAATATGAAAGAATCAATAGAATGGTTGAATTGTCGACATCTATATATATATATATATACATCATTAACAAAAATCTTTTCTTTTCAAAATAGAGAAATATATTTAAAAATGAATCATATATATAATGAAAGATTTTTCAAATTTATTTCAGATTTAAACTTATTAAATAAGTAAACACAATGCCTAAATCAAAAGAATTTATTGATAATTCGGATTCTGATGAACAAAAGAATTCGGCTAGTGATGAAGAAAAAACTAAGGCTTCAACATCGACAAAGTCGAAGAGTAAAACTACAAATAACAAGAATGATGTAAGTAACTTCAAAAAATAAACAAAATCAATTCACTTTATCGAATTTCTTTTTTCTTTTCTTTTAATGGAATAGCCACCAGCTAAACGAGTTAAACCAAATGATAAAGCAGATGGTGATGGCGTACCTTCAATAGCTGGACCTAGTGGTGAACGACTTTACGAAGTAAATCATATCAATACTTTCTGATATAGATAATTTTTTCTATTATTATATTTTTATAGCTTAGTAAATTACGTTATATATCGGTAAGCCAATTTAAAGGTAAACCATATATCAATATTCGTGAATATTATGATGATAATGGTGTACAAAAACCTGGTAAAAAAGGTAAGATATTGTTTTTTCATTTTAATATATATTGTGTTTTATTTTTATTTTTTTTTTATTATATTTAGGCATTAGTTTAACTGTTGATCAATGGGAAAAGTTAAAAACACTTATTAATCAAGTCGATAAAGATTTATAAGAATCTATGTAAAAAAAACAAATCAAGTCATATAAACATTTCTAATGATCAGATAAAAAAAAAGCTCTATGAAAAAATCATTATCTTTTTTTATGTTGTATTTTTTTTTGTTCGTATAAACTTGTTGTAAAGAAAAAAAAAATTCATTTGCGATTTTCTGTTAATATTGACTTTTTTTCTCTTAAGGTATTAAATACGATATATTATTGTTGAACGAGAAAAAAAATAAAATTTAATTAATAGAAAACAATCAAATAAACAGAAGAAATCAGATAATTTCTTTCTTTAGATGAAAGAATTAATTTGTTCAACCATTGAACGTAACGTTGTATTAAAATGTATTCGTGATCATAAAGTGAGTTAAGTGATAATTGATTAAAACAAAAAAAAAAAAAGATGTTTTTTCTTTACTTTCTTTCTCAGCGTTTGGATCTTCGAACGATTGATGAAACTCGTTCGATTAATATTGAATTTCATGCACATCCTGGTTATGTTTCAGTTACTCTTGGTCAAACACAGTAAATTATAGAGAATTTTATTCTTTAATTTTTTTTTTAAATATTTTTTTTTTTCAGTGTTATTGCACAAGCGTCATGTCGTATAACTAAACCAAAAGAATCACGCGCATCAGAAGGACATATTCGTATTCATCTCGATATGTCAAAAATTCCATTAATTAATTTAGAAAATTGGAAGTTAGTTATAAATTTCACTTTTGAATATAAGATTTTTTTTTGTTTTTTGAAAATTTTCTCAATAATAGACATCAAGAATTTGTACAAGAATTAAACGGTATTCTTGAACAAAATATTCGTCATTCAAATTGTCTTGATCTTGAATCATTATGTATTAATTCTGGAGAATTAGTAAAATAATTAAATATATTAATTTATATTTTAATTAACTTCTGTTTTCTTTTTTTAAAGGTATGGTCCATTAAAATTGATCTTATTGTACTAAATAATTGTGGTAATATATTGGATTGTGCTAATATAGCAACACTTTGTTCATTATATCATTTTCGGTTAGTTTGTAATTAAAATATTTTATTATTTATTTTTCTATTATTTATTTTCTTTAGTCTACCAGAAGTATCTGTGCATGGATCAGAAATTCGAGTGGTTTGTTAAATTTGTTTACATTTATAAAAAAAAAATTGTTTTTAAATTTTATTTCGAATAGTATTCATCAACTGAACGTCGAGCTCGTCCATTACGTATTCTTCATTTTCCAATTAATGTTTTATTTGCTTTCTTTATTGATGGGTAAATTTATTCGAAATTTTTTTTTTGTTTTTGTTTCATTTATTTATTAATATATATTAGTCATTATACATTAATTGATCCAAATTCTGATGAAGAACGTCTTATGGATGGATTTTTTTCTATTTCAATGAATCAACATAAAGAAATATGTGGAATTCATATGGGTGGAAAATTAGGTTTAAAAAAAGAACAAGTTGAATTATGTAAAAAACTTGCATTTAAAAAAGTACTTGAATTAACTGATCGTATTCGACAAGTAGTTACTGATTATTATAAGTATGTTTTTGAATATTTACTTTTTAACTTGTATAAGAATTATGTTTTCTGAATATTTGATTTAGATAAATTTATTTCATACATAGAAATTAAGTTGTCATCCGAAATTATTTGTAACAGTTTAAGAATCGGAGTTTTTTGATAGTTTCTATAGACTTTTTGGATAGGTGAAATACATGTACATTGTTTAGCTATGAAATGCTTAGTTTCATTGTTGAAATTTGTTCAAAATACAAAATCTAATTTACAAATGTACGTCTTATTTTTCAAAGAATTGCATCGAATCGCCTCTAAAAATATCAACCATAGTCCTGCAGATCCTAAATTTCGATACATTCAAATAGACTCTCGCAGTATCATTGATTCAAGATTATTCATATGGATTTTGTTTGCATTCAAAATTCTCGAGTCCCATCATCGTAACCTGAAAAAAAAGGTGTTAGCGTAATCCTTGTAAGGTTAAAATGTGAAACAGTACCGGAACTTTAATCCTCATAGTTTGACCACAAATAGAAGCATGTTTAATGTTGATCGTAAGGACTAATCAGAACTTGATTGGGTTTCATACGGAGGAGCCAGAAGGTTAACATAGATTTTTTCTTCAAACGAAGATATCTCAACATAGTAAAACAAATGTCATGACGTTCGACTCCTCATTCAACAGCTCAGTGCTGCCTATATCACAAATAAAAACTACATGTCAAACAGTTTTAGTTTGCTGGATTTGTGAAATATTCTTTAAGTAATCTTCATATGAAAGTTGATAGGAATCGTCGAAAAGTAGTGATCGATTTTAATCATTTACCTTGAAAATTTCACGATTGCAATCATTAATGGAGAAGATATCTATGCTGAGATCGTTCCAGACAATGAAGATTTCCCTGTACCTCAAGATTACAGTGGATTGGAGTGTACTAACTGTGATACAATATAGATATGGGAAATTTTATTTGATAATAATAAGAAACTGGAGGTTAACGCATTTAAGTAATGAAAAACTAATGTTTTTAGCGTAAATTTTTTATATTGAGATTTATTGACATTGGATTGTTGCTTGCGATCAGAGCTTATCGAGCTCTTTTATGTATTCGAAGAATTATACAGATTATAAAAAACTTGCTTGTTCTTAGAAACAAAAGTGATTTTTCAGATCTCTATTTGTAACTGAAAATTTGCATTTAAGAAATTATTATCCATTTCAAAAAAGAATGGACTCAATTGTTTGTTGAATAACTTAGCAACGCTGATAGTTATCGAGTTCAAGTTTTCACCGTTCGAAAGAGCATGGATGAAGGTGCAAGTCTACTGGAGAATCAAAATATTTGAAAAGTTTTCTAGGGAATTCAAGAAATTTTCCAAAAAATTCCTGGAACTCCCTAGAAAAATTTTCAAGTATTTTGATTCGCAGGCAAACTTGTACCTCCTACTCATGCTCACTCTAACGGCACAAACTCGAGCTCGATAGCTATCAGCGTTGTTGAGCTATTCAACAAATAAATGAGTCTATTCTTTTTTAAAACGTATAATAGTTTCAATTCAATCGTTTAAAAACTATCCAACATGATTTTTATAAAATAAAAATAGCTTTATATATTGTATTATATATTACAGAACAATTGAACCAATTACACATGCTCAACCATCGATTATACGTATTGATAATGATGAAGATGAAGATGATGATAGTAGTAGTTCAAGTGAAAGTGAAGATCCTGTTTTAATAAAACCCGAAATACCACCATCACCTATTGAAAATAATGTTTCAGTAAGTAATCTCAAATTAACAATAAATATCTTGTGTTATTTTTTTGTTAATATTATAATCTATAGCTTTTACTCATGCCGGATCTTGATAATTTATCATTAACCGATGATGTTTCAACAATGATTGCTACGAATGTTGATAAATTAACAAGTGATTTAGAAAATGGTAACAAAAAAAAATTTTTTTTTTTCAAATATTTTCTTATATTTATTTTAATTTTTTATTTAGATGACGAACACGATAACGAATGATCTTATCAAATCTTAAAATAATTTCTTTTTTTTTGTTTTCAAATTTTGTGATATACTCTTTATTTATCAACTTTCATACTTTTTCTTGTAATATATACAGTTTGCTTATATGTTTGTTATCTTTAAAAAATAAAAACAAAGACTAACATATTCTTATCTTTTTACTGCAACGAAAAAAGAGGTGTGCGTTGACATAATAAATCAAGTGACTAGTTTATATAATTCTTCTTGTCTAGAAATGCATTCTTATTTAACACAAAATCTTAGTCAACCATGGCCAATATTAAAACATTATGATCAAGATCATTTATATAATATTGCTCTTCCACTTGGTGGAATTGGTACGGGTACAGTGAGTTTAGGTGGACGTGGAGAATTACGTGATTGGGAAATAGGAAATAAACCAGCAAAAAAATATAGTACAGTAACAATAGGTAATGATGCACCATTTTTTTCTGTATTTGTTAATCAACCATCAACATCAAGTAAAATAACGAAAGTACTTATTGGTCCTGTTCATCCAACTGAATATTTACATTATGAAGGACGTGCATGTAATCATCATGGTTTACCAAGATTTCGACAAGCATCATTTGATGCTGCTTATCCATTTGGAGTTGTTAATTTATCTGATAGTAATATGCCAGTATGTATTTTTATAAGAAATTTGGTTTTTTTTTTTGAAAAATAAAAGATTTTATTTAGATAGAAGTTCGTATAAAAGGTTTTAATCCATTTATACCAACAGATGCTGAATCAAGTGGTATTCCAATAGCTGTTTTATATTATGAAGTAACAAATCTAACAAATGAAATTTTAGATGTTAGTATATGTGGATCAATGAGAAATTTTGTTGGACAAGATGGTAGTAAATATTTTATTGCTGGTAATGGTGATTATGTACCAATTGGAGCTAAAAATAATACAAATGTTTATCGAGAGGATTTTTCTGGACAATTAAAAGGTATTTATATGAATTCAACTAACATTGATCCAAATGATCCAGCATGGGGAACAATTGCTTTAACAACATTAGTTGATTCACCAAATGCCATTGTTACATATCGTTTATCATCCATTTCAAATGCATGGTATCATGCTCTACTTGATTTTTGGGATGATGTAAGTTATAAAATTATTATAGATTCGAATTATTTTAGAAATTTTTATCTATTAGTTTAGTACTGATGGTACACTTCATGATAAAGGACAATTAATTGATGATAATCCTATGGCAAGTTTAGCTGTTAAAAAACAAATTCAACCGAGTGGTGTTGAACTTTTTCCATTTTTCATAACATGGAATTTTCCTAATCGAATGGCATGGTCACCAACTATTGTTGGTAATTATTATTCAACATTATATAAAGATGCATGGGATGTATGTATTCAAACATTACCTCATCTTGCTGATTTAGAAATGAATACACTTGATTTTATAAATCTTATTTTGGCAAGTGATTATCCTGGTGTACTTAAAGAAGCTGCATTATTTAATTTAACAACACTTCGTTCACAAACTGTTTTTCGTATAGCTGATGGACATTTAATGGCATGGGAAGGAGTTTTTGATATATTTGGTTCATGTCTTGGTTCTTGTACACATGTTTGGAATTATGAACAAGCTATTGCATTTCTTTTTGGTAATCTTGCTAAAACAATGCGCGATGTAGAATTTAATTATGCAACATTTGATGATGGTGCTATGAATTTTCGTGTACAACTTCCATTAACAAAACCACAAGTACGAACTGGAACTGCTGCAGTAAGAAAAAAATACAAACGAATAAATATTAGAGAAATAAAAATTGATTGTTTAGGATGGACAAATGGGTTGTATTATGAAAATGTATCGTGATTGGCAAGTAAATAAAAAGAATATGTAGTAAAAAAGAAAAACATTAAATCTAGTTCTTTTTTTTTTCATAGCTATCTGGTGATGATGATTTTTTGAAAAAAAATTGGCAACAAATCAAAAAAGTTTTAGCTTTTGCATGGCAACCTAATAGTTGGGATACTGATCAAGATGGTGTTGAAGAAGGAGCTCAACCAAATACAATGGATGTTACTTATTATGGTATGTTGTATTTCAAATATTAAAATAGTTCGAGAACAAAAGATTATGTGAACAAGAAAAAAAACTGAATCAAGTCGTTGTGTTAGTATTATATTGTAAACAAGATCTTTTGATATTCACATATATTCTACACTAAAGTTCGATTCAAATCGAATCAGTTCAATGATCTAAACAGTTTAATAATCAAAATGATATTTTGATTATTGTTTCATTTGAAATATTTATTCGAGAGTTTAAAAAAACTGACAAGGAAACTATCCCAACTAATACATGAGATCCACAGTCAGGTCTCGATAAGAATAGCAAAAGTGTAAAAGAGTTTGTACCTAAAAGAACAATCTATCACATAATTCTCTCGTTGCAGCTATATAATGACGATAAGAATTAAACATTCATTGAATGCTGTAAATCTGATCAGTTCTCAGCGCTGATCAACAAAATCTTCAACTATGCGGTTCTAGTGAAATGAAAATTATTTCGACTCATTAGAGTCAACACTTGAGATTTTAAGTTGTTAATGCTCAAACTTCACTGTAATCATTATTCTCGCTATAATCTTTTTCTTGTTTTGTAATATTTAAAAACTCGATACTATTAAAACAATTTGAAATTTTTAGCTGTTACTAATAACCATACAAAATGTAGATATTGTTATAAAGAACTAATCTTATCAAATGAACAACAGAATAAATGTAGCTTATTATTGTGCTTTCATAACTCTATAAGATTTTCTTACATCATATATAAATGACTACATTTAGATAGTCTTATTAAGTTCTCAATTGTTTTTTTTGTATATATGTGAAGCAATATTTTGAAAAAAATTCTTTATTCTAGGGCCTAATCCACAGTGCAATTTTTGGTATTTAGGTGCTCTCCGTGCTGCATATGTTATGGCATCATATATTGGTGATGAAGATTTTGCTAATAAATGTGGATATTTATTTATGCATGGTAGTACTTGGGTAGATAATAATTTATTTAATGGTGAATATTATGAACAAAAAATAATTGATCCAGAAACCGGTCAATTTATGTCTAATGATGATTCAAATGTACCTGATTATCAACTTGGTAAAGGTTGTCTTGTTGATCAATTAGTTGGTCAAATGATGTCTCATGTATGTAATTTGGGTTATCTTGCTTCATCAACAAATATAGCAATGACATGTCGTAGTATATTAAAATATAATTATCTTGATACATTTAATGAACATTTTAATAATATGCGTTCATTTGTTATTGGTGATGAAAGTGGACTTTTAATGGCATCATGGCCACGTGGACGTTTACAATTTCCATTTCCATATTTTTCCGAAGCAATGACTGGTTTTGAATATACAGCTGCATGTAATATGATATATGAAAATCAAACGCAAGAAGGTTTAAAATGTATACAAAGTATACGAAATCGTTTTGATGGTCTTAAACGAAATCCATTTAGTGAACCTGAATGTGGACATCATTATGGACGATCTATGACTAGTTGGGCAACACTTTTAGCTTGGTCAGGTTTTCATTATTCAGCTGTAACAAGAACAATGGAATTTGGTGATAAAACTGGTGTATTTTTTTGGTCAAATGGATATTCTTGGGGTTCATGTTGGATTGTTAAAGATAAAACAAAAGCTCATTTAACAGTTGTTTATGGTACTGTTGAAATAGAATTTTTTGGAATCAAAGGAAAACCAATGAAAAAATTACTCGAAAGAGTTATATTATCATCAACAAGTGATTTGAAAACACTTACCATTGAATTTGATGATTAAATCTATTGTTTTCTTTTTTTTTTGTTTTCGGAAAACGTAATTTTCATTTATTATACTAAATAAAATTAAATAGAATTTTACGAAATGGATTATGGAAATTATTTCTCTATTATGATTAAACGTAGAAGTTAGTGACATAACCACGAGGAGGAGATAGAGGAGCTCAGCCGCCCCTCCCCTTCTACAAACGGTTGACTTCCGCTTAAAAAAAGGACTTGAGCTCATCTAGAAGCATTACCAGAGAGTAGAGCCCGTCGGGTAGGATCCGGGCCCACTCAGGTCCGGGTCTAAAAATTTCGTTTTGGCCGGATCCGAGTCGGGTTTCGGGGCTGAAAATTTTGCTGTGACCGTGTCTGGGTCGGATCCAGTGCTGAAGAAAACTTTGATGCATACAATATATTGTGAACTTTTTCAAAATTTTGTTCGTTTTATGAAGAAAAAACAATTGAATGCATTTAGAAAATCGACAAAAAAAACAATAAAACACTTTTTGAATATATTATCGAAACTGATTTATCATCGTGTTTGGATCCAAAAAGTTTATGCGATCGGGTTCGGGTCAGGTCTGGGTCTAACATTTTTTAAACAAGCGGAGCTGATTTCGGGTACGGATGTAGCAAATGGTAAATGGCTTCGGATCGGGGTCCAAAAATCTTGGGTCCGATGGGCTCTACTAGAGAGTTACCATCCCCTTTTCGGTAGTATCCTGTATGGGTACAACTTTTCGCAATTGGACTCGGACCGTAGTTAATCAACATCCTGTAGGTACTTTCACAGTCACAAACTTTCTCCACATCGAGCTCATATTGATCACTGATCCAATTGTTGGCGACATCTATTAGAAATTGATAATGTATAAAATTGATTTGCTCATAACTTTCCACCGATGAAATTGTAACTTATCTTGAGACAAACAAGTCAATCATTAATAAATATAGACCATGGCTTATCTGACAGAAATTTATGAAAATAATTATTTAAAGTATATTCTTTTATATTTAGATGTTTCCAGTCGGTACAGCCAGTGGAACAAAAGTATGTTTGTTTTAATATAATATTCGAGTAAATTTTCACCCTTTTTTTTTCGTCATAGAAAAAAGGCAAACAAGCAACAAAAGGTGATGCGCAAATAGCTAAAGAAAATGTTGAAACAATTCAATTTTATAAGAATGTCTTAACTATTGCTAATGTAAGATTTTGTTTTGTCAAAAAAAAAATTTTTTTTGTTGATTTTGAAATATTATCTAGGGTGTTTTTCTTGCTGTTCATTTTATCTTTTATTTTATTACCGGACTTTCAATTGTTTCTCTTGTAAGAAACTATTTTAATTTTTTGTTTTTTGAGTTTAATAAATAATCATCTCATATTTATTTCAAGATTCTTTTTGTAATATCATCTATTATTGCATGGTTTGTCTGGTCATTTATGCGTCAAATTGGTACATCAACATCAGGTGGTAGTATAACTGATTTAAATCTCTCAGGAAGTATTTCTGAGTAAATTTTTTTCCTTGATTTCATCTATTATTTATATAACATAAATATAATCTTATTTAGATATGCTAAAGATATTATTTTAGTTATTGTTATTACACAAACAACTAGTTTAATACATCGATATTTTTGGTGGCTTTTATTAGCTGTATGAATTTATAAGAAATTATTGTATATATGTATATATATATATATATATTTTTGTTTTTTTTAGATTCCATTTTATGCTCTTTACAAAGGAATTACGTTGTATTTCTTTTCACCTTATGCACAATTACGTAATGCTACAACTCAAGAGCAAGATGATCAAAATGACGAGAAAAAAGGTGGAAAACGAAAAATTGTTCGTGTTGCTCGACATTAAAAGAATATATTTTTTGTTTTCGTTATTTAATTAAATTTTAATAAACAAGCATATATGAACAAATATTCCATTAATTGATGTTGTTCTAGATTTAAAACAAAATAGTATGACTCTTAAAAATCTCATTTATCAACATATTCTAATAATTTTTATTTTATTTAAACATTGGTTTCGTACTTTAATTAATCTCATTACTGGTGATTCTCGACTAAAAGATTTAAATTCGGAAATTATTCTTATTACGGGTGCTGCAAGTGGAATTGGAAAAGGTATTACTCAACGATTAGCTCATCTCGGTTGTACACTTATTTTATGGGATATTGATAAAGAAAATAATGATCGTATTGCTCAAGAATTAAATAACACAACAAATTCAAAACGTATTCATTCAATGAAATGTAATTTAACACAAAAGGAAAATATATATGAATGTGCAAAAAAAGTAATTATTGAAAAAAAACACTTCGTATAATTTGGATACTGATAAAACTCTATAACACAGTATTTCTAGAAAATAGATGTGAATATTATTCAGATACTACCGATAGTTCTCTTTTGAATAGTAGACTTCTCTTCTTCATTTTTAAGTTCGAATCCTTTCCATGTGTCGGCCACCGAGTTGAGAAGTCTTGATTTAAGAATTATAAGCTCCTTTCTAAAATTATGATTTTTATTGGTGTATCTATGGTTGAAATATTCTAATCAGATTTTCTCTTCTGAGAAGGTTACTGAAAATTCCGAGATAGACTTCATCTCCTACACTCTAAAAAAAAGGTATCCTCGGAAACCTTTTTCGGCCGATTTCCGGGAATATCTTTTTTTGTTCGAGTGTACACTGGATAAAATACGGATCCCAATGTAATATCAATATCTCGATCTTCATGTTATGTATATTTCTGTAGATCACAAAATTGTATGATTTTCGTATTAATTCTTTCGTTCTTATTAACCTTTAATTCAACAGATCTTTAATAAATATAGTAGTCAACGGAATTCAAGAAGAGGTCGGTACTCTATTGACAAACTGTTGAGATTTACAGTTCATCATTTTCTATCACTGATTAGTCGAGGAAGATGATGATGTATTGTCTGTAGTACAATAATCTCGTATTGAAGAAGAATATTTGTTATAGTCTATATCTATATAGATTCAAGAAACAATTGGTCAAGTGACCATGATTATAAATAATGCTGGTGTTGTTTCAGGTAAACATTTTCTCGATTGTAGTGATACATCAATTCAACGTACATTTGATGTTAATATTATGGCTCATTTTTGGGTAAAATTCAATTCTTTATTTTTCTTTTTGTTAATTTATTTATTGTGGATTTTTTTTTTGTATAAAGATTTTAAAAGCATTTTTACCATCAATGATAGAAAATAATCATGGTCATATTGTAACAATTGCAAGTGGTGCTGGTTTAGTTGGTGCACCACGTATGGTTGATTATTGTTCATCAAAATTTGCTGCTGTTGGTTTACATGAAGCATTAACGTAAGAATTTATCTCATATGAAATATTTTACTAAATAAATATAATTTTTTTTTAGACATGAATTATATAGTTTAAAAAAATATGGTATTAAAACAACAGTTGTTTGTCCAAGTTTTATTAATACAGGAATGTTTGAAGGTGTTGGTACAAGGTAAATCTATGAAAAAAATAAAAATCTTCATTTGAATTTTTTGTTATGTTTTTTATTTCATAGTGATATTGCTCCAATGTTACAACAAGATAATGTATGTGATCTAATAATTGAAGCTATACGAAAAAATCAACATGTGTTACTTATACCAAAATCATTACATATTTCTCTTATTTTAAGCAGGTTAGAATAAAAATCGGAAGAAAACAAAAAAAATTATTTTTTTTTTTTTATATTAGATTGGCACCAACATCTGCTGAACTTGAAATACAAGATAGAATTGGTTTTCATCGTTCAATGGATACATTTATTGGTCGTCATCAAAAATCTTCTTAACTCATATATATATATATATATATATATTTATTTATTTATTTATTTCTGCATTTTTTTTAGTTAGATTAACCTTTTGTAATCTCATATAGCAATTTTTCTTTTATTTTTTTTAGATGAAAGTTATTTATCATGAAAAACAATGATCGATTGGTTAATTAGTTTATTAATTGGTAGTTCATTTACGTTTATTATGACATTTTCATTATGTTTTTGTTTTAAACGTGATCGTGCTACATATAGTGTATCATCAAATAATATAAATTTAAATCCAATAAAAACAACAACAACAGTTACATTAGCACCACTTCCATTATCATATGATCCATCAATTATTCCAATTGAATCTGATTATGAAAAAATAATTGGTTCCTCAGGTGATGGTGAAATACGTATTAATAATGATTATAGAGATTCAATAACATCAATGGAATATGGTGGTTATACAAAATTAACACCAATTCGATCTCAACAACAATCATTCGACGATGATACACAACTTTATGCTACTGTTGATAAAACAAGAACAGTAGGAAAGAATGAAATTCGAACAACATCAAACACTACAGCTGCTATCGCAGCTGCACTTAGACAAGGCTCATCACCAGCATCCACAACTGCGTAAGTATTTCGATAAATTGTTATTTATTTCATTGTTTTTTTTTTAAATAACATTTGATAGGAACATTATAGAGATTTGCAGTTTTCATCATTCAAGAGAGAAGATCTTCCGGAGCCATCGAAAGAGGTTAATTGACTGAAATTGAGATTCTCAGAAAAAATTGTATAACTCTCGAAAAGAACAAGCTAGGAATATAGTCCTTGTAATGAACGTTATGTTCTGATATCCTGATTTTTTTTTTCTCATTTACTGTAATGATACGTTGCGAGAATTGATTTTTTAAAAACAGCTGATCACAATCAGACGTTTTCCAAAAAGGCAGTCAGAATTTTCTTCTGAAATAAGATTGGACAGTTATCATCTGATTATTTCAAAAGATTGAAAATAATGGATGTACAGATTCCAAATTCTTTTTTGCAGTTTTTAAAAAAGCGATTTTTTTTTTCACCAATGCCAATTTCCATAGAACCTACTCTCTAAAAAGAATCGTTTTAATACCGAATCTTGTTAAGTTTGACAGTGGCTGCGAAACCTAAAATGAGTCTTCATGGGTATATACTTTCAAAACCTTTTTGAAATCCTTAGGACGAAAGAAGTTTTGGTATCAAATATACGAATCCCTTAGGGTATAACGCGAAATTGATAAGGGTTCGAAGGCTCTACCGAACTTAAAAAGGTTCGGTATAACATCTATTTTTTTTAAAGAATGTTGCTCTTTAGTGGAAACATAGGTGAGATGTTGCTTATTTTTGTATAGAATTCAATGCTTTATATAATACTGTTGAGTTGAAGCTATTTCAAGGCACTAACAAAAGACTATGCTAAAATCGTTATTTTGCTTTTAGTTTTGATCTTTTTCACAAAATTTACTGATAGTTGTTCAATCTTATTCCAGAAGGAATATCTTCGCATATATTCCGAAATGACAAAAACTTTTGACTCTAACCGATTGTCTTTTAGTGTTCAAAAAATAATGTCAAGATTTTCGCATCATAGCTTATGTAATTTTTTTTTTCGTTTATTTATAGTTCTTCTTCTCCACCAGCAGTGTTTTCTCCAAGTTCATATCTAACTGGATATACAATGACGTCTCAAATTCCACCAGAACATCCACCACCACCTCCGCCACCACCACCATTACCACCACTTCTACCGCAAGTTTACGGTAGTACAACTGCAAATAATAATAATGATTCTAGTCGTCGTCCTCATTATGATGAAGTTATAACACGAGAATCATTACAATATCGTGCACAACGTTTACAAATGGAAGAACAACAACAAATACGTGAAAATTATTATTCATCTGTAAATAGTGAACGTGGTACAACAACTGGAAGTGATCTTTATGCTGAAATAGCGAATGGTAGTGCATCGGGTACAGTACATCAAAATCAACAATCTTATTATTATTCTCGACCATCAATTGGTAGTGGAATAGGTGATGATCTATCGGAAAGGTATGCAACTGTTATTGAAGCTGTTGAACAACAACCAACAACAAATCGTATATATCAAGATGTTGATACAATGAAACTCGAATAAAATTTTGTTTTTGTTTTTTTCTATTTTGTATGTGTAAGTGCAATCAAGTATTTCAAATGTGTTTGTTTTGTTTTTTTTTAATTTTTTTTTTTCTGTAAATATATTCTTGTTTCTTTTTCTTTTAAATTGTACGAAAACAAGAAGATTATTGATATAATTGTCTATTTATCAGATATGATATTTTATTCATAAGAAACAAAACGAATCTCTAACGATTCCAATGACTTTCAGTAAAATCCTTATTGCTAATCGTGGTGAAATAGCATGTCGAGTTATTCGTACTGCACAACGTCTTGGTCTACAATCAGTTGCTGTTTTTTCTGATGCTGATCGTAATTCATTACATGTTCGAATGGTACGCTAAAAAAAAAAATTATAAATTTATTTATATCTTATTATTTGAAATATTTTAAGGCGGATGAAGCTATTCATATAGGTCCAGCAGCAGCTCTTCAAAGTTATTTACGTAAAGATAGAATAATCGAAGCTGCTAAACAAACAAATGCACAAGCTATACATCCAGGTTATGGTTTTCTATCAGAAAATTATGAATTTTCTACGATGTGTAAAGAAAATAATCTCATATTTATTGGACCACCACCAAATGCTATTCGTATGTTTGTTTGTTTTTTTTAAATAAAAACAAATTATATATTCATTTCAGGTGATATGGGTATTAAAAATTTAAGTAAAATTATAATGCATGATGCTAATGTACCAGTTATTTTTGGTTATCATGGTGATGATCAATCAGATGATACATTAATAAACGAAGCAAAAAAAATTGGTTATCCTATTATGATTAAAGCTGTACGAGGTGGTGGAGGAAAAGTAAGTTTATCATTTAAAAGGGGAGGAGGTCCAAAAGTCGATATTTCGAGATTCATACATATTCTGATACTTGTGTAAGTTTATAGCACCAAAAGTTAATTTTATATAGGTTTCGATGATGTTGAATTGATTGCGCATGTGTAGGGTGTGTGTAGATAAGTGTAATTGGATGAATAGAAGAGTATACTTAGGCCCGAACTCGACCACGTCCGAAATTAACCCGATGAGCACTAGCGCACACACCGACTCTCATGCGCTGATTTGATATTAGTGTCAATTGGGCTTTTGTAATCTTATTTAATTTGTTGTTTTTTAGGGTATGCGTATTGCATTGAATGAAGGCGAATTTTTGGATAAACTCAATGGTGCGAAATCTGAAGCAAGAAAATCTTTTAATGATGATGCAGTTTTACTTGAAAAATTTATTCAACGTCCTCGGTAAAATTAAGTGTATTTGAAATTCGAATAAATGATATTCTATTATTATTATTTTTTTCATTTAGTCATGTTGAAGTACAAGTATTTGGTGATATGCATAAAAATTATGTTTATTTATTTGAACGAGATTGTAGTGTTCAACGACGACATCAAAAAATAATTGAAGAAGCACCAGCGGTAGAAATATTATGTAAAATTTATTAACCAAAAAAAAATATTCTTTTTATAGCCTGGTCTTGATTGGTCAATACGTAAAAAGTTAGGTGAAGCTGCTGTTAAAGCAGCTCGAGCTGTTAATTACGTTGGAGCTGGAACAGTAGAATTTATTATGGATGAAAATCATGATTTTTTTTTTATGGAAATGAATACACGTTTACAAGTTGAACATCCAATAACAGAAATGATTACTGGTACAGATCTTGTTGAATGGCAAATAAAAGTTGCACAAGGTGAAGTTTTACCACTTAAACAAGATTCTATTAAATTAAATGGACATGCATTTGAAGCACGTATTTATGCTGAAGAACCTGAAAATGAATTTATGCCTGGTAGTGGTCTTTTAACTTATTTACGAACACCACCAACAGGTGAAGATGGTAAAATTCGTGTTGAAACTGGTGTTGTCGAAGGTGATGAAGTATCTGTACATTATGATCCAATGATTGCTAAATTAGTTGCTTGGTCAACAAATCGAACAAGTGCATTACAAAAACTTCGTCATGCTCTTCAACAATATTACGTAAATATATTCGATTTTTGTAGATTAAAATATGTTTTTTGCTTGTTTTATTATATTCAAAAAAAAAACAATAGATTGGTGGTTTGAAAACAAATATTCCATTTTTAATGTCTCTTTGCGATAATAAACAATTTCAAATGGGAAATGTACACACAGATTTTATTAAAGAAAATAAAGATGCTTTATTTCATATACAACAAATAACTCCAACTATAGCCGTTGCTGCTGCTTCGGCTTTTATTAATGCTCAACAACAAATAAAATATAATACAGGCTCGTATTTTTTTTTTGTAATTCTTGATTTTAATTAAAGATTATCTCTCATATTTCATATAAGATTTTTTGAGAAAGATGTAAGCTAATCTTCTCATCAGCTTACTGTATTCGTAGTTCTCGATTGCAAAGTCTTTATGAAAAGAGAATTGTTTCATGTTCTTATAAATCCTAACATAAATTAGATTTATTTATTCTAGACGGTGCACAATCATTTTTTACAACATCTAATAGTTCTTTTCGTCCAAATTTTTTACAAAAACAATTTTTAACATTAATCTATGATAATAAAAGTAAAATATTTTTCTTATTCAATAATTTCAAAAGATAACTTTTGTTTTTTAAAAGATTATCAATTTCAAATAGAACGTATTAATAGTTCGAAATTAAATATTACTTATGAAAATAAAACATATCCTGTTGAAATTCGTTCATCAAATGATGAACTTATTCTTCTTATTGATGGTCATCAATTTCGATGTCGTATACATATTGATGGTGATACATGTACATTCTATTCGAATGTTAGTCGTTCGTCATTTGATTTTAAATTACAATCACCATCATTTCTTGCTCAACTTGCTACATCAGGTATGGGTGGTGGTGCTATTGGTGGATTAGCTACATCTGGTGATCCAATTGCACCAATGCCAGGTCTTATTGATAAAATACTTGTACAAGAAGGTACACATGTTACACAAGGACAACCATTATTAATAATGACTGCAATGAAAATGGAACATGTTATTAAAGCAAGTAAAAATGGTACTGTTGCAAAAGTCAATGTTGCAGTGGGAAAAGTAGTTAAAAAAGGCGATATTCTATTGACATATGTTGCCGATGAGAAAAAACAATAATTCTTAATAAATTTTTCTTTTTTTGAGAATAAACCTATGTTTCCTTGTTTTGTACTACAAAAACCATTAGCATTTATCTGAATATCATTTTCTTTTTTCTTTTTTTTTAGATTACTTTAGTTTTTTTAATCATAATGACACGTCCAAAAGGTCAAAAACGTTTTGCAGAAATGAAACGTATGATTAAATTAACTGATGCAAGACTTAAAGCAAAAGATCGTATGAAACCAAAAAATCATGATAAAAAACAAGAAAAGAAAAATATTGGTGAAATTACTGAAAAACAAGTTGCACCTGTGACATCAGCACTCTTCTTTAGATATAATACACAACTCGGTATGTTTCTTTTTTCTTTGTGAAATTCATATTATTTTTTGTTTTCGAAGAAAAATATAGTTAGTGTAAGTTTTAAGAGAGTGTCCACGAGGAGACTGAGTATACGAGGTACTCGATAGAATTCTTTTTTTGCTCATTCAAACTATCAATGTCTAAAAGCAATAACCATAAAATTTTAGGTTCTAATATCCTTCCTTTGAAAAGTTAGTCAATACCAACTTTTAGCACTATTGTACTTTGTTGGAAAAAATAAAAGAAGATGTATCAGCTTGCGTCTCAAGAAACCTTTGAAATTTTTCAAGGTATATGTGAAAAGATAGAGAATTAAAAGCTGAATAGAATAAACTATATTCATATAATATAATGTCTAGCAATTCAAGTTTTATAAAGCTAACAAGAGTCAAAGTATCCTTTTAATCAGTACAAATCCAATAAAATATCTCCTACTGTGTTTCAGAATCAGAGGTATTCAAGCTGAATTTTATATATGTTGTGTAACTTTCTTTTCTCTATGACATGGTAAAAAAATATTCAAAAACACTTTTCCACTCGATGCGAACGGAAGTTTACACATCTTCATTTTTCCTGGTTTTTCAATAGAAAACGAACATTTTCAAAGGCTTTTCATTCAGATGATGCAATGCTAGAGCAAAATAGATACGATATTCGTAATCAACATCAAAAACTACATCTAATCATATATATTTCAGCGAAAATTTTTTCCTATCCAAAATTGACCTATGCGGGACCAGGGAGAAATTTTTTTTTCAAAGTACCGCTGTTGGGGAGCATAGGCCAGTTTGAGGTGGGAAAAAATTTTCGCTAAAATATATATAGTTAGATGCAGTTTTTGATGCTGATTCCGAATATCGTATCTATTTTGCTTTAGCATTGTATCATCTCAATGAAAAACTTTTAAAAATTTTCATTTTCTATTGAAAAATCAGCAAAAATGAGGAGGTATAAAACCCCGCTTCATATCGGATGGAATTTGTTTTTTTGAATATTTTTTTAATCATGTTGTAGAGAAAAAAAGTTACACAGCAGGAGATACATTGTTGGATTTGCACTGATCAAAAGGATACTTTGACTCTTGTTAGCTTTATAAAACTTGAATTGCTAGACGTTATATTATATGCATATAGTTCATTCTATTCAGATTTTAATTCTCTATCTTCTCATATATACCTTGAAAAATTTCAATGGTTCCTTGAGACGCAAGCTGACACATCTTTTTTTGTTTTTTTCCAAAAAAGTACGATAGTGCTAAAAGTTGGTATTGGTTAACTTTTCAAAGGAAAAATATTAAAACCTAAAATTTTGTGGTTATTGCTTTTAGACATTGATGGTTTGAATGAACAAAAAAAGAATTTTATCAAGTGCCTCATGTATAGTAACGATATGTGATGGGCTCATGGAAGCTCTCTGAAGTCAAGATTTTGTGGCTCTCCCTGCATAGACTCCAAAGAAGAGAAAAATCTGAAACAGTTCTTCACGCGAATAAAAATTCGAAACTTTTTTGAGTTTGGTACGAAACCAAAGTGCCCAAATCAAAATTACGAGTTCTTTCCGATTGGAAAATTCGTAGGAACTTGGAAGGAGAAATCCGATGATTAAATCCAGTAGCAGGCTCTGTTCCGATATGATCGGAACGAGAAAAATGTGGGTGCGTTTCTCTAACTACCGAGGACAAAAGACATTGGACTTCTTTCCGAGAGTTCGTTAGCAACGGAAAAAGATGCTGAACGAAATTAACAACAAGACTTCGACTGTTCTCGGGGATCCCAAAGCCTTCGTTGAAATTTGAAATGACTGAAAAAATTATTCTTATATTTATTTAGGTCCTCCATATCATATATTAGTTGATACAAATTTTATTAATTTTTCCATCAAAGTTAAATTAGATATCATTCAATCAATGATGGATTGTCTTTATGCAAAATGTACACCATATATAACAGATTGTGTAATGGGTGAAATTGAAAAATTAGGTACAAAATATCGTGTAGCATTACGTATTGCAAAAGATCCACGTTTTGAACGTTTACCATGTTCACATCAAGGTACATATGCTGATGATTGTATTGTACAACGTGTTACACAACATAAATGTTATATTGTTGCCACATGTGATCGTGAATTAAAACGACGTATAAGAAAAATTCCTGGTGTACCAATTATGTATTTACATGGTCATCGTTATACTATAGAACGTATGCCAGATGCACATGGAGCACCGAGAATATAAAAAATAAGAATAAAATATTTGTTCATAAATGAACATTGTTATTTTTGTTCTACGTTGTTGTTTTTTTTTTCTGTTTAAAATAAATTGATGAGTAGAACAAATAACTATTCATTTATTTTGAGTTATTATGCTTTTGACAAAAAGAAAAAGAAGAAATGAATTGATTGAATACATAATCAAAAGCTCGAACTAAGTCATAAAAATGTTTGAGAGATTTTCCGAACAGCAAACCGTTTATTATACATGAGAAAAATAACAATATACTGCGAACATGAAATAAAATAGAAAAAAAAAATAATGTCTATTTTGTTTTCATTGAAAATCAACCATTGATGATGTATATATTGTAATCAAATATTCTTAATTATGATTAGATTTTGAATAATTTTTTTCTCGTGATCGTTTATTTTGAAACCAAACACGAATAACTTTTTCATCAAGTAATAATAAATGTGATAATGTTTCCATTTGTGTTGGATCTGGATAATGATTTGTTAAATAAAAACGATCAAGATATTGTTTTTGATTATTTGTAAATGCTGTACGAATTTTCTTTGTTTTATTATTCTTTTTAATAAATGGTGTTGATGATGGTATTGGTTTTAAATTTTCAATATTATCATCATCATCATCATCATCATTAGCGTTCTCTTGACTTTCTAATGAATTAGATAATTGTGAATTACATCCAGTATCATCTATAAAAATAAACTATTAGTTTTTTTTTTTTCATTATTCATGAGGGAACCCATCGGACTGATACTTTCTGTTTGAGTTCATAGTGTAGATAAATATCCTGAAAGGGCTCATACCATTAAACATTTCTTCTCGAGTTATGGCTATTTGTGGAGCACTTTTATGAAAGTAATGCTTTTTTTCAAAGATGTTATCTCAGAAGGAAAACATCCGTCTAAGCTGAAACTTTCAGAACAATATAAGAGCTTTATCGGAAAGAATTTTAGGCCAAAATTATTTACACTATGAGCTCAAACAGAAAGTATCAGTTCGATGAGCTCCCTCGTGAATAATGTAAAGAAAGAAACTTTATCTTACCGATTTTTATCAAAGGAATAGAAATCGGAGAAAGAAGTTCATCGATACTTTTAAAATTATGTCGAATTATAGGTGTTATAGGACGAATAGAATTTAATATAGATGAATAAGTAAACCAAAATGGACTAAAAAGAAATTCATATTAGATTTTAAAGACAAAAAAGAAATATTACTTGAATGTTAGTTGAGATAAATTTTCTTCGTAACTAGATGCAATACTTGATAGTCTACTAGTATGTTCGTCTTCCATGTTTCGAATGAATTTATTGTATTAGAATAGATACCTATTTGAAATCAATGAATATTTCTTTTCGTCCAATGAATTTTCAATGATAAAAGAATTATATCTATTTTATTGGATAAAATCAATTGATAGATTAATAGAAGACGAAAAGAAAAAAGTAACGACTTCTTCAATATGACAAGCCTATTTGGTATGGTAATTGATTAAATAATAACACTACAGGCGACTAATTGATGGACTCATTTTAGTAGACGGCAGCTGAATTTTTTCGTTCTTTCAATATAATTCTGTTGAACATTTTTTTTCTTTTTTGTATTGTAAAGTCATATCAGATCTGTGTAAATTGATACAATGTGAAAAATAAATGTAATGTACAATAAATCAAGCAAGACACGTGAAATGAATCAAGATGATCATTATTTATCCGTTGAAGTATGAAGAGATTTGAGAATTTGATTTTTTTTCTCAGCAGTAAAAAATCGATTGTTAAGTGTTTGGATAAAAATATGAAATTCAACCTTGAAAATATTTATACAATATAAATTAATCGTAGCCATCATTCATTATTTTATTAATCTATCGGTGAGAAGACTAAAAGTAAAACGATAAATATACCGATTTATATCTGTATGTTGAGTGAGAAGTTGACCATAATAAAATGATCAAGCTAACATTTGTGATACATGATAGTTAGCGGTTTATCAGCTTTTATATTAGCTCAGTGTTTAATATGTAAAAAATGAGTCAATTAGTTTCACTTGATACTTGCTGAGCCTTAAATAAGATGAGAAGAGGCTGAAAAGATTTTAGATCAATGACAATAGATGGCACATTGAAATAATTCTGTTGAATTCATTGAATGTATTCATCTTTGTTCTATAATTTAATATTTGTTTGATTATATGAAGCCTTCATAATAGAAGGCCGTGGTTTATATATCAGAAATGGAATCATTCCATCTCTATCTTCTCTTATGGAAATTCATATCGCTCCTTCAAAGATGACTTTCTTTTCTAACATTGAATTAGAAAACCAATGGTTTTTGAAAACGTGTTGTTTTCTATTCAAAAATGGATTTTTAGGTGCTAAAATTTCGAATATAACCATACGCATAGAAGTACCATTCTCCTGCTTGTTGTTAATTGGCATTTTGTAACCAACTTCCACCACTGTATATAATTCTATTCATTTTTAGAATATAACTTTTATCAAAGAATATCACTACAAGCTAAACAATACTGAAAATAAGATCAATGAAGAATAAAAATCACTATTATGAATAAATTGAGTCATTGTTTTATTCGGACGGTTTTTGGTAGAAAGCATCAATAGTTTCTTGATTAAAATGTTGGAAATCTTGTACAAGTGCAACCATGGTTTTTAAGACCACGATTCCGCGCAACAATAAAAATAAACAGGCATTCCTGTGTCATTTCTATAGATGAAATATAGAGAACGATGTATATCATTTATTCGAGCATAAAGAATACGACAAAATTCACTACAATAATTATCTTCTGTATAAACATCACTATTCATTCTCTTCAGATCAGATCGATTTCGACCATGAACAAAATCATTGCCAAATGATTTCCTTTTACAAGTCTTAATCATTTCTTTCTTGAAGGAAAAAAAGCTCTATATAATGGGAATAGTAAATGAATAATCATACTTAACTAATGAATTCATCAACAATAAGACTCATGTCTGATAATGCTATACCATACATATAAAACTCGAATAGTCGTTACGACTATTCCAGTAGAGTAAAAATTTG